AACCTTGCTTTTGCATTTCAGTGAGTTGGTCTCCCTGGTGGTTTTTTTTGGGGGGTCCCCATGGACTGGGCATAACACTGACTATAAAAGCGAAGACAAGTTGGGACTGACTTGTACAATACGGTTGTAGGTGGTAGGTAGACTTAGAAGCTTTGATTAGCTTCCTTGTCTATCAATCAGCAGTATCCTCTCTTCTTCAAGACAGTTATACACAGAATAACAATGGGAGAAAAATACTAACATTATATGTTCAAACTGTGTAGCATTGCCCATAGAACCACAATAAATGATTTGCAATTACTTGAAGAGAAAAGATAAACTTATTGTAGGTTTATGAACAAAGAGAGTATATTATTGGTGGTTGGAGATATCCCTGGGAAGGGGAACATGAATATAAGGGGATATGGCATGTCAGTGTATAAGACCCTAGGAAAATTCTAAAACACATTAGCAAGAGAGGATCTGAGTGCATTGGACTTGGCTGATAAACAATCATGGGAAGAAAGTTAGTAGAGAAAATGAAAACAGACTCTAAGATTTCAAAGGGTGATATTTTTAGTGAAGAATGAAAATAAATGAATGACAGGAAATGTTCTAAGTAGTATGGACATGAAGAAGCATGAAAGGAATAATACTTACAGAAAACATTCACCAGAGAATACTCACTTCTATTTTATACGTGCTGGCAATTTGGCTAGACCATAAACGTCACATTTTGAGGTAGGAAGAATAAAATGGATGGTTAAGTGAAGATGAGAAATAGAAAGTCTATAAGAGAAGATATAACTTGGAGATTTAGTTTCCAAAAAGTTCAAGAATATAAGCTCTCAACAAAATAAGTACAATAGTCAAGTGGTAGATGGTTAACATCTGTGAATACAGTAAGTACTTGGAAGTCTGTAGCATCAGAGTTGCCATAAATTTGATGTCATCATGAATATAAGAGTTGTCATAAATTTGAGGTCACCATGAATATATAAGGAGTTCCAAGCTAGTGTGGGTTATATACTGATACATGGACTGGTGAAGGGGGAAATAAAGCTATTTTTAAGAAGAAAAAGAAAAGAAAGATCAAGAAAGTAAGTCATCCTGATGCACTAGCACATATTTTAACCACAACACTTGGAAGCAGACCTAGGTGGGTCTCTGAGTTCAAAGCTCATCTGGTCTCCATAGTGAGCTGCAGGCCAGTGAAGGCTAAATAGTGAAACATTGCCCCCCCAATAAATAAATAAATGAAGGAAGGAAGGAAAGAGAGAAGGAAGGAAGGAAGGAAAATAGTAAAGAAATTATTTTTGTCATACTCTTGTGTTAGAGGAGAGTATACAGTTGATGCTTTACAACGCTTCTCTGGGTAGAAATATGAGACATTGGTCAAAAAGATGGTGGAATGAAGAAGGCCAAGGATCTACAGAGGATAGAGGAAAGTTGTCATTGTATGGTAGTGAATTAAAATGAGAAATGAAAGAACTCTATTTTACTGCAAAGGATAATCAGACTAGACTTGATGTTTAGTTCCCATCTTGAAACAAACGAAACTCATGACAATAATTACAAGTATGGTCATCTTCCTGAGAGGAGGTCATGATATTGTACTTCAATATTGATGACTTCTTGCTATTTTACTTCATGTATGAGTGATTTGTATCAGAAGTACATACCCGATTTCTACCCAAATAGATAAAAGCAAATTTTCTTCAGAACTCTTTTCTTCTGGAAAGGTTTATTTTGAACTATTGATTAGATAAATTAAATTTAAATTAAGGATAGCCTCTCATACCCCTTATTGATGTCTGAAGCTGACAGAAAGAATTGAACCAATTTGCTTAAGAGACTCATGATTAAATGACAGAAGGGAGTCTTTCCCCTAATGTTGGAACATAAGATATCTGTTGCATGAGATTAATATAATACAAAATATGACTACATTTTTAACATTTGGTTTATTAAAACTATGAATGCAAAATCAAGGGGTTCTATATCCATATATTCTAGTAGAATAGGACATTATAAAATATATTGGATGGAAAACTAAATAGTACATTGCTATCCAGAATGAGTGAATATGTCTTTCCAATTCTGTAAATTATCCATCTTTCCCACTGGACTATGAGGACAAGAGGAGTAGAAGTATAATCATCTTTCTTTGGCAACTTAAGGTTTTTTGTTTGTTTGTTTGTTTTACGTACAGAATGAAGAGAAGGTATACGAAGTAGCAGGAAAAGCTGAGGTGAGAATGGAATACAATAGACACCATGGAAGAGTTGCTGCAAAATATATAAAAGACAGTCTGCTAGCATGTGTTCACCTACAGGTAAATGGACCTGAGAGTGGAATGGGACAAAGGTCCAGGAAATGTACCCAGGAGAGTAAAGTGCCACTCAATATCAGAGAACAAGTGTCAGCAATCAGAAATGAGTTGATACTGAGAACTTGCTCCTGAGAAAGAAGCAATATCTAGAGAAAACCTCCAGTAAGCAAAACCAAGATGAAGGCTGGGGTACAGTGACTTTCAGCCCAAGCCACAGTAAAGCAGTCTTAGAGGGATGGAGTTCCAGATGAAATTTAAAAGCAAAAAGGACACAAATGACCTCAAATCGAAAGAATATATAAAGTGGAATAGAACTATTCATTATAGATGAATATACGCAATTAAGTTTCTAAACAGTTTATCCTATTCTTACTTCTTAGGAAAATACATTTATAACAATAACAAATTTAAGAAAATAAAGATGGCTTATTTAAGAAAATAAATTAAGATTAAAAACAATGGTAATCTGTATATCAGAAAGACGTAAATTCATTTTAGGGAAAGAGTTGTCTTCAGAAAAATGACTTCATCAATTTAGATAAATAGAGAAGACATAAAAATACTCCAGCTGATTGACTCTCATTAGAAATGAACCATAATTAGGAAGTGAAGCAGTAGAAAATAAAGGATGAAAAGAGAAACACGTTGCAGGAATGGACAGCATGATTTGGGAGATTAAATAGACAACTACCATAGACAGAGACATCTGATAATCTAACCTATTCTTTTGTTTTATAAGTTCTTTTTCTTTGAAATCATGTAAAGCATTTGTAACATATAGCAACTTCTTATGCAGGTAGTATGGGGGAATCAAGGATGAATCAGAGGAGAATAGTAGTCAGAGGTAATATGTGAGTGGTTAGAGGTTGATCTGCATAGAACTCAGAACAGGAAGGGACATAGGAATGTTGATCTCATTAGTCCTGAATGACAGTGTGATGTTAAGTTAAAATGGCTAACCACCATTTTAGTTGATGGGATGGTGGGTACAAAGAAATACAAAAATGGAGGAGAAACTGGAAGAACTAGAAAGACTAAAGAATAGAAAGCCAATAAAACTTGTAAAAGAGAAAGGGAAAAATGAAAGTTTAGGAAATAGCAAGCTTGGCATATCAAAGAAGGATTTTAAGACAAACCAATGCTTACAGAGGAAGGGAAGGTGAATGAGCAGTGTTTGTACAGAGGGATAAACAGACACTAATTCTATTTTGCTATTTGTGGTAATAATTCATCATAAAGCAAGATATGGCTGTCATCATGCTGTACGTTCTGCCCAAGGTGCTACTCCCCTTGGAATAGGGTCAGGGTCTAGGCTTGCAGTGTCTTTGACCTTCTGGCTCTGATGATTGATAAAGAAAAGGCATGCTTTAAGTAAATCATCCAGGAGCACTAGGGTTCAGGCCCCTGACAACTGTCAGGCTTAGAATAAGAGGGAAGTGCATCATTTATCAGTCTAAAGAAATAGCATGGGAATGAGACAAGACAATGACCTCCTACCCTGGGTGACACCTTGGATTCTCATAATCCCCTGTCATGTGATCTTTCACTCCTTCGTGGTCTTTCTCCCATAGTTTAAAAGAGGAAATAGAAAACACTATCCTGAGTGAGGTAAATCAGACCCAAAAAGAGGAACATGGGATGTACTCACTCATAATTGGTTTCTAGCCATAAATAAAGGACATTGAGCCTATAATTCGGGTTCTTAGAGAAGCTAAATAAGAAGGTGAACCCAAAGAAAAACATATAGTCATCCTCCTGGATATTAACCTTCATCAGGCGATGAAAGGAGACAGAAACAGAGTCCCACATTGGAGTACCGGACTGAAACCCCAAGGTCCAAATCAGAAACAGATGGAGAGAGAGCACGAGCAAGGAACTCAGGACCGAGAGGGGTGCACCCACACACTGAGACAAGGGGGATGTTCTATCGGGAACTCACAAAGGCCAGCTGGCCTGGGTCTGAAAAAGCATGGGATAAAACCGGACTCGCTGAACATAGCAGATAATGAGGACTGCTGAGAAGTCAAGAACAGTGGCACTGGGTTTTGATCCTACTGCACGCACTGGCTTTGTGGGAGCCTAGGCTGTTTGGATGCTCACCTTACTAGACCTGGAAGGAGGTGGGAGGTCCTTGAACTCCCCACAGGGCAGGGAACCCTGACTGCTCTTTGGGCTGATGAGGGAGGGGGAGTTGGTTGGGGAAGGGGGGGAGAATGGGAGGCGGTGGTGGGGAGGAGACAGAAATCTTTAATAAATAAATTAGATAAATAAATAGATAGATAGATAAATAAATAAATAAAAGAGGATTCTACCATGGCCCTTAGAACACACAGTGGTACAAACTGACTTTGGGGAATTCAAATGTCTAAAATGTTAGACAGCCTTCTCACTACATCTTTAACCAGGGAAATAAAATACAAAATCTCAAAGGGCCTTCAAATTACTAAAAAGGGAGAAATGATGTCAGAATACTTTTAAATGGCATTAGATATGTAAATATTACAAAACTGAGCATAAATGATTTTACAGCTATGTTTTCAAGGACTTCACCCAATGCCAAAATACTATCTATATCCCATAATTCACTTCAGATTTCATTTTTAATCATATTACAGGGTAACCACAACCTTTATTTATGACAGCACAGATGTCACATTCAAAAGTTAGTCATTTTGTGAAAACTTCTAATCAACTCTGAAAAATGTTAGTGTCTTGATCCTTTACAGTCATACAACATGGTGGTATAATGAGAAAGTCACAACTTGTATTGTAGTGACTTGTTTACTGAAGGAAATTGAGAAATTCAAGGTTAAATTATAAAAGGATTATTACCATAGACCTCCAAGTTGACATGGTATAGATAGCAACAAAGAGCTAGAATCTCTGCTAAATGTGCATATGATCAATAAAGAAGCAAAGATGGTCAAATGTTTATATAATTATAAACAAAGGTTGTAACTCAACAGCTCAGTTCATAAAAAGCTTCAGGTTATAGTGATAATAAAATTTAGTGGAAAGAAATGATTGAGATGGGTAAGTTGGTTACTGAAAAGAGAGAGGGAGATTTTGGCACTGTAGAGAATGCACCAGAGTGTGGATTTCAAGTCTTCTTAGGTCCTGAACACGGCTGTTTTGGTCTCTTTTCCAGTATCTGAAATAAAATACAAAGATTGTTTAAGACTGAAGAATTTATTTTGCTACTCAGGTCAGTTCAAGGACACAGTCCATAGTGACAGGTCAGTTCAAGGACACAGTCCATAGTGACAGGTCAGTTCAAGGACACAGTCCATCATGACAGGTCAGTTCAAGGACACAGTCCATAGTGACAGGTCAGTTCAAGGACACAGTCCATCATGACAGGTCAGTTCAAGGACACAGTCCATAGTGACAGGTCAGTTCAAGGACACAGTCCATAGTGACAGGTCAGTTCAAGGACACAGTCCATCATGACAGGTCAGTTCAAGGACACAGTCCATAGTGACAGGTCAGTTCAAGGACACAGTCCATCATGACAGGTCAGTTCAAGGACACAGTCCATAGTGACAGGTCAGTTCAAGGACACAGTCCATAGTGACAGGTCAGTTCAAGGACACAGTCCATCATGACAGGTCAGTTCAAGGACACAGTCCATAGTGACAGGTCAGTTCAAGGACACAGTCCATCATGACAGGTCAGTTCAAGGACACAGTCCATAGTGACAGGTCAGTTCAAGGACACAGTCCATAGTGACAGGTCAGTTCAAGGACACAGTCCATCATGACAGGTCAGTTCAAGGACACAGTCCATCATGATAGGTCAGTTCAAGGACACAGTTCATAGTGACAGGTCAGTTCAAGGACACAGTCCATCATGACAGGTCAGTTCAAGGACACAGTCCATCATGATAGGTCAGTTCAAGGACACAGTTCATAGTGACAGGTCAGTTCAAGGACACAGTCCATCATGACAGGTCAGTTCAAGGACACAGTCCATCACGATAGGTCAGTTCAGGGACACAGTCCATCATGATAGGTCGGTCACAGAGGCAGAGACTTAAGCTGCTGTCACATTTCATCCACAGTCAGAAAGCAGAGCTGTTGCTGTTTGTGCTCAGCTCACTTTGTCTTTCTGGTGCAGTCCATGACCCAAGCTCAGGAGATGGTTCCCACCTTAATGAACTTTGCCAAGATAATCTCTGACAGGTAAGCCCAGAGGCTCATCTCTCAAGTGATTCTAGATTTCAAAGTTGACAATTAAGATTAACCATCATAATAGTGACACAGCAACTATACAAACTAATGATTCCGATGGCCAATTAGAAAGCGATACAGAAATGCTTCCCCTTAGGATGGAGGATTCCCACCACTCACTTTTTCTCTATTAAAATGTATATAAAGTATATTATCTTATGGGTGTATTTTTGGAAAGAGTATATACATGATAAATTGTAAATTATATTTCAGAAAGTTAACTGATCCTTAAACTCACATTTACCCAAGGATAGTAGAGTTAAGAAGGCTTTTCTTTAAAAAGGGGAATGTAGATTGGGAGAGCAGCAGAACCACTGAGGATGTTTCCTAAAACACGAGGACATTTTGTCAAAAGGAAAGAACTGCACTTGGATGGTGAAGCCCTAACTAGAAGCATGCATGACCTGGGAATGACACAATCTAAGGCTTAGTTTTCTCATTCCTAAGGCAGAAACAACCCAGAAAGAACCTTACCTTATTTTACTTCCTTTTTGGTGTCAAATGAATGTGTGTGGCTTTGTATTGAAACAAAATGTAACAAAAAATGTCACATCTCTATATATTACCTACTAGTTACAGCTTATTCAGCCCTAAGAACCTAGCTATTTCAAGATAAAGCAAATGAATAGCAAAGAAACATACCTTTCCTCCCAATATATGTCAGTTTCTTTATGTATAATATATATTTAAGACTTTACAAAAAGGAAAATAAGTATTTTCAGGCAAAAGAAAGGTTTCATATAGAAAATTTAAATGATATAAATGATGTAGTCCAATCTGCCCTTTGATTTCAGATTAAAGTCTATGATAAATGATACTAATAAAATTATATTTGTACTGACTTTCCATGGTTTTCATATTTCCAGATTTTATATTTCAAATATCACTACCCAAAGTATCTCTTGGAAAACAAAATATGGAAAGTTTTCATGTTTTTTTTTGGTGCAATGTGTTACAATGTACAAGAGCACATGCCAAATTCTATTTAACAAAAACACAAAACAGAAATTGGGGCTTAAATCAGTTTTAAGGAAATTCAGGAGTTGGAGATTAGTTTAACCATGTTATGTAATAACTGAGGTGGTGATGAAATGAAGAATGAGAATAAGACAAAGCAAGAGAGGTGAGAAAGAAAGACAAGAAGAAAGAGGAGACAAAAAAACAAATCAAATGAAGAAAAATTCATGGTTTCAATAATAATGTGGAAGATGTATAGTGCTTTTCAACTGTACTCTAAATCTTTCATCCTCATTCATTAATTTATCCTATTTACAAATACTAACTGTGTCATGATGTGGGAGTGTCATATATCAATCTGTTGATTTCATTGGCTGAGCAATAAAGAAACTGCTTGGCTTAGCTTAGAGCATAGATGGGAGGAGGAAACAGAATAGAATTCTGGGTGGAAGAGGAAGTGAGGTCAGACTCTGCTCTGCTCCAAAAGAGACGCCATGCTCAGCTCTCCCCGGTAGACGCAATAGCTCTGCTCTCTGAGGCACACGCGATGAAGATGGACATAGGCTAGAATCTTCCTGGTAAGCGCACCTGGGGTGCTTACAAACATTACTAGAAATGGGCTAGTCCAGGTGCGAGAATTAGCCTGTAAGGGCTAGAGTTCATGGGCCAAGCAGTTAAATGAATACAGTTTGTGTGTTGTTATTTCGGGCATGAGCTAGCCAAGCGGCTGGGGTGTTGGGGACGCAGCCCCGCCGCTCCATATTTCAACAGTGTCAGGTACAAAAGACATAATGTGACTGTTTGTCATATTATCTATACCAGTAACCCTGTGACATGAAAAAAAAATAAATTTACTTATCTCAAAAGTGGAATATTTAACAGCACAAGATATAATATAGTTGGTGAATCCAAGAAGACCGATTGAATCAAAGCCCCAGCTTTGGATCTTTGCTCCGCCATTTAAAACTCATACCCAGGGAAGTTGACTTAAGTTCTCCAAGCCTCAGTGTTGTCATTATAAAAGAACTATAATCCTTGCACAAATGCATGGGGACTTTGTGAGGCTAAGGTGAGTTAATGTGTACTGGGCCCTTGGCACTCAGTCGGATACACTGGGCAAATGTTGGCAAGCGGCACGAATAGGCACAGACACGGGAAGAAACCTTTAAACATGGAGACTACAAGCACTGTGTCTCATTGTGGTTCTGCCATTAATTTGCTGCATGACCTTTATAAAGGTCACTGTCTCATGGCTTTCTCCTCTGTTTTAGAAGTTTGAGTATACACAGCCTGTAAGACTGACTTGACTTGGGATGCCAATTATAAGTTCAGCATTCCCTTGAGGCACTCTTAGAGTTGCAAATTTACAGGACTTGAAACAGTGAAAGTTTGGAGACTCACAGCTAAGGTTTCTTAAAACTAAAGAATACCAATAAAAAGGTGTCAAGCGAAACTATGTATGGGGCAGAGTCAAAGTAATACCTAAGCACAAGCTGCCACCTGCTCCCTCCCAGGAAAAACATTGACAGCCTCCTCTCTCAGAACCAAAGTATCACAAAGTACATGGACTGTGTCCAAAAGAGAAGCTCACCCCAGTCTTGCTCATCAGTGTTTGTTGGGGATTCATCGTCCACTGGTCAAATTGTTCAGGTATTGTGGAAATCAAGCATATGGGACTTTCTGGTATGGCTCAACCCTTCCAGGTAAACAGAGGTTCTCTTAGGCAGGACATTCAAAGAACTTAAAGAGGTACCCCAGAGTAACAGGCAGGCCTATCTTTGGTCAAGATTAATTTTTTTTTATTATATACTGTGAAAAGATGGACTTTCAGCCCTAACTCTTACCCAATAGCCTGCAAACACTTATTGACTAGAATCTGCAATAAGAGATGAATTCTACACAGCCGAAAAAATAATGACATCTTGAATTTTGCAGGAAAATGGATGGAGATAGAACACAGAAAGACAATTATCACATGTACTCACTCATAAGTGGTTTTTAAATATAAAGCAAAGAAAACCATCCCACAAACCACAATCCCAGAGAACATAGACAACAATAAGGACACTAAGGGAGACTTACATAGATCTAAACTACATGGGAAGTAGAAAGTAGAAAAAGACAAGATCACCTGAGTAAATTGGGAGCATGGGGACCTTGGGGGAGGGTGGAAGGGGGAGGGGAGAGGCAGGGAGGGAAGCAGAGAAAAATGTAGAGCTCAATAAAAATCAATAAAAAAATAAAAGATTGTAATAGCCGAGGGTGGGGGGAAAGAGATGAATTCTTCGCATGGACTCAAACATACATCACATATGTTCATTCTGTAAGGTAAATATCTTTCTATTCTCTGTTACTGTTTCAGTTTCTCTGAGATGAATTTAATCAAACTACTGGTTTTTCCTCTAAATCAACCCTTAGCGGGTTCTAACAAGTAGTATGAAAGGGACGGGTAAATGGAAGTTTCTGTCCCACCTGCAACTGAAGCACGCTTAATAAAAAATCAGAGAGAGAAACTGGAGTTCAACCTGAAGACCCAAAAAGCAAAGCAACCAGCCACTGGCTCTTACCTCAACCTCAGTATGAAATGGCTTTCCTGCCTCTAGCAATCTCAGAATGAGACTGTGTCTGAGAGCTGTCTTCTCTCGTTTTATTATTCTTTCTAGGGTTGGGATTGAAGGCGTGCATCACTGGGATTAAAGGCAGGCACTTCTTGGTTTCTATGGCAACTAGTGTGGCTACTGGGATTCAAGGTGTGTGCTACCACTGCCTGGTCTGTAAGGCTGACCAGTGGGGATCTTTCACTCTCTGATTGTCAGGCAAGCTTTATTTACTACAATACATTAAAATGCCAGTACAGGGGTGGTGTTTCTCGGGTAAAACACAGCTCCACCAGGGTAGGACTGTCAGACCAGACACAGCTTTACTGGCTTATGCTTTGTCGGTGTGGGGGGTGGGGGTGATTTCACATTACAAAAGATAATGACTTGCAAAGGCTAAAACATTGCTTATCTGGCTACTCACTGTGTGTGGGGGGGGAGGGGCAGGAAACTCTTGACCTAGTGTACCCTTATGATTTATAGCCTCCAGAAAATGCATTTACAACGTGACCTTCCACTCCCCTGATATACCACTGAAACACAACCTTATACCTCATCCTTCTCCTGTGTACAAACATGCTACAATATTATACAGCTTAGAGTCTAGGCACTGAGTGACTCCTTCAAAGGGAGACTGTGGTACTGTTCTGGAAAATGTCTTTCCAAAAGGAACAAGAGAATATCATACTTCCAAGGTCAACTTCCCAGTCAGTGAAGATACCCAGACAGTAATGCTCTAAGCTTGTAACTTGTGTCTCCAAACTGGCAACTCTATCAGAAAGGCTCTTTCTTTTTAGCCAGCCTTCTAGGTACTGTAGAATATGATTTGTGTAGCATAGTGAAAAGAAAGTAGAGCCTGTGAAATAGCTGAGGAAGGTTAAGGAGGAGAAGTTCAAGCTTAACAAGAGGCAAATTTTGCTCACAGACAGGCAAAAGTCAAGACATACTAAGATGACCTCCTTGGAGTTTAAATATGAATCTGGTAGCAATAGAATTGGTATAGGAGCAAATGCAGGAAATGCAAAGTATAAACATGGTCAACTCAAGTTCTATCGACATCAGTCTCCTTGCTGTCTGTTTCTGCAGTGTGTGAAGAAACACAGAAAGCAATTCAGGAAGCTGCAGAGGTTGAGCTGGGGAGGAATATAAAGAGAGGAGCAGGACGTTTTGGCTTATGAAGTACTGGTAGGATTGACTTACACTCTCACTATGATCATTACTGCAGACAGAAATAGAGGTCTGAATCTCCTTTGAACTTCACTCTTTTAAAGTTGAGTTCCTCTGCATGAAGAGATGACCACAATACAGAATTTTTTTCTTCAACTTTAGAGCATGCCAGAGAAACACAATCAGATCCTTCAGTTTTCTGCTTCCCCTAAATTAATGTCTAATAATCATGTAAAATTGATTTTCAAGAAGCCTTGACATACTGGGCACAGGTGGTCACACCTTGACACTGAGCAAAGATGACTGCCAGAGTCAGGACTTTTGTCCATAAACTCTGATAATATGTATAATTAAGTTTGTCATGTATTGATATCAAGTTGTGCCCTGTTCTTAGTTCTCTATATTGCACAAAACAGGGACTTTCAGGCTGTGTCTTACCCTAGGTCACTCCATTTTTTTTCCTTTTTGAATTTAAAGATAATTTTATCATTTCCCCCTTCTCTTTCCTTCCTCGAGCCTTTCTCCTGTATTCCAATTCCCCCACCCTCTTTCAAATTTGTGATCGCTGTTTCTTTAATTATTGTTACAAACAAGACCCAAATAAGGGCAACACAACAGACATGCTGGTGTGAAAGTGGAATCTCATGGTACCTCAACCATACACAAAGAACTTTAGCTAACTCCATTTTATAAACAACATTTTTACAGTGTAGAGGAATTTTCACAGACATACAACACCTGTTGAGCACCACCCACGAGGCACAGACTGACAAGTAACTTGTTTCTAAAAGTGAAAAATATCACACTATAGATGTATCTATTTAGAGCCACATGGACACAGAGCTGTGCTAAAATCAGAGCAGAGAAATTGCATCCAAGAAT